ATTTTTAATATTTTTATCTGTAAAAGATCGATTTTGTACTTTTATAGATAGATCAATAAATTGACCTATTAACGAATTTACCGCCAATACCGAATCACTAAATTATATAGTCATAAGTTTGAATTATTTCTGCTAATTGTCTATTATTTGTATTTTCTAGGGTTTTGGAAACAGGTTCGTTATTTGAAATCATCCATGGTTAATACTTATATTTTGTTGTATATTAATAAATAAATGATTCAGTACGTTACTTAATAAAACCGAAGATTGTTTCAATATAGTTTTACCGAACTAGAATTTAAAACGAAATTTGATGGGATATTTATGTATTGCCTACGCCTACTGTAATTCTACATATGGATTTGACTTAACATCAAATTGTTAGCAGCTTTCAATAAACTGTTGATAATATTCTCTATAGATGTATTTTGTAATTTAAAATTTTTTGCGCTAATTATCTCATTGATCACAATTTGTGCATAAAACCATTTACAGATAAAGCCAAAATTACAATTGACTTTATTGATAAGCATATATTCCTTCCATATATTACGGATTTTCGTTTTTAATTTAAAATATGTTAAATGTATTGGATATTTATTTAAATCAATAAAAGCTAATTGATCTTATATTTTTTAATCACATAATATCTCCATTCTAAAAACAAATTTGGAGGATAATGTATAGTATAATTAAGTTAAAGAATATGGTCATCTTTGTTTTACTTTATAAAATTTCAAATGTCCATGTTTTACATTTTTTAGCTATTTTGTATTTAGTACCTTTTTCCGTGATATTCCGTACTGAATTATCATCTGTTATTTCCAATAATAATAAGTTTATAAAAATAATCTACCAAGGGGTTTGACTAACAATAACATGGTAAATTATGTTCATTATTTACACCTGGATTATTTAATAATATCTGTAATTATATGAAAGTGGTCCTATTGGAATTTCACATTTATAACTGTAATGTATGTTTAAAGTTAATTGGATGTGGGATAATTTTCTGAATGGTAATTATTTAATTATATCATTCAGATTATTTAGTTTAAGCCTAAATTTTATAATTTCAGAAACTAAACATTAGGCATGGTTAATTTGAAAATATATGTAAATACAGTTTTTGTTGGTACTTTAAACTTTGAATTATTGAGCTTATACATATATGTATATTTGTAGAAATAACTACAAATGTTAGCAATTATATAAAACTTATTATCTAAATTCGTACAAATATGTATAAAATTTACCCATTTTATTTTATTTTTACCTTTTGCTCTATTTTACTTTTTTTATACATTTTCAATTCTGTGCAAACAAAAGGAATTATAATTAGCAATTGTTATTACTTACATTTAAAGCAATAGTACCATTTTAATCTTGATTCACATCATAACATTATAGAGTTTTGTATTAAAAA